TATTATATGATGCATTGTTGTTGTTGTTGTTGATTGCCATTGAGTCAAGTACAACTCGTATCGTCTCTATGAACAAAAGACCTAATGCCTTTCCATAACTGTCATCATTTCTCCAAGTTAATAGAGTTTCCATAAGTTGTGGTTTAGGAAGTGGATGCCACTCCTACTTCCAAATCTGTTTTATAACTGGGAGAGCCACCAAACACTGGCTACATTGGGAAGCCATTATGGTATTTGATACCCCAATGGCACAAGGTTCAGCATTGAAGCAAACCCAGAGTACCTCAGTACAGCAAACTAAGAGTGATGTACAAAATGGAAGAATATTCCTCCAAATATAACAACCCTTAGCAGTGGTTAAGTGTTGTCAAGTTGAATACTACTTATAGTGACCTTATGAACTAAAGACTTGAACTCTATAATTAACATCATTTCTGCATGTCTATAGAGTTTATGTATAGAATATTGATTTTTTTTTCCAAACGGGTAGCCATTTTCCACAGTATCAGTTATTACATAGTATGACATGATATTTATTTACATGTTCTTTTATATTCTTCAGTAAAGTTTTATTATGTCCTTTATCTCTGTTTTTATCTCTTTCTTGTAGATTCATTTTTAACATTTTATTATTGAAATTGTGCCATTGTAATTTTTTTATTGATCATTACTCTATTTAAGAAATCTATATAGTTGCATATGTTGGTTTTAATCCATTTAGTCCAAATGATTCTCTTGGGACCTTTAAGTAAAAAATTATGTTACCATTTCTCATTTTCTTGACTTGTTACATTGATTAAAACTTCAAGTATAGGAATGAAAAAAATTTTGATGGGAAAATCTTATCCTGTGATTGTCTTTAGTGAAAAATGCTCTAGTATTTCATTGTCAAATGTTATTTATAATGATTTTTACAACATATATGTTTTTAAAGAAATTCTTTTGTAGGTGAGAGTTGGAGTCAAGAAAAGATGTATTTTATCAAATGCTTTTTACATGTGTATAAATAATTCCCTGCTTTCATCCATTTATTAATCTGAGAACACATACTAATGGACCTAAAAGTTGAAAAAGCCATTAGTTCATAGTATAAACCATACTTAATTATCATAATGCTATTGCGTTATTACTGCTACACTCAATTTTCTAATGTTTTATTTAAGTTTGTTTTAGTTTCCTATATTTAATTTTCCCTGGGGTCTTTTGCATCTACATTTGTATCACGGTCTATACAATTTTAAATGTCTATACACTTTTAAATGTATACTACTACTCTTGTGTTTGGGTATAAAAGTTGAACAAGCCTTATAAAATTAGTTGGTCTGTTTGGAAATATGGTTATTACTTAATCTTGAAAGATTTTGATAGAATTTTTCTTTCAAGCAATTAGGCCTAATGTTCTTTTATTAATCTTAGGCTTCATTTTTCAAATTTTGTATCTCTTTTGGAATATATTTTAAAATATTTTTTCCTAAAACACATCTGTTTTATCTATGTTCTAAAGTTTAATGGGCAAAACTTGTAATTGCTACTTAGTTATATTTAAAGAAAATCATATATGTTATTATATTATGCATTCTTTCTTATTCTAAATATTTTTCATGACTATTCTTTTGCTTGATCAGACTTGTCCAAGATTCATTTTTCAATCTCAGCGTTTTATTTTTACTCAACTTTTTAAGTAGGGTGCCTTTCTCTTATTTCGTTTCTTTTTTTAAAATCTATTTTATTAATTTTAATGAACATTTACAGAGATTTTGGATTTCCATTCATTTATTGTTGCACTTTTTTCTCTACCCCACCTCCCCATCATTCGTTCCTCTCTTTGAAAAGCAAAAGGTAAACTTCTTCATTGGTATGCAATCCCCCAGCCCTGCGCCTGAATGCACTCCACTATGCAACCTTAATTCTAGATTCCTGTGATAATCATAATACCCTATCATATATCACTTTTAAACTGTTCTCTCTTGAATTAAATGTTTGTTTTTGTTAAGTGCCTTTGAGTCAACTACAACTCATAGCAGCCCTATGAATAATAGTACTGAACTATGCTCTCTCCTAAGTCATCCTCACAGGTTGTTCCTCATACCTAAGGATTTAAAGCTCTGTCTCATATACTTTGGGCATGTTACCAGGAGGGACATAGTGTTTATAAGACATAGATATAGAAGGACATAGTGTTTATAAGGGTAGAGGTTGAGCAGGAGAGAAGACTCTGAATGAGATGAACTGACACAGTGACTGTGGCAATAGGATCATATGTGTTAGAGATGGTGAATTTGCCTCAAGATAAGCCAAGGTTCAGAGCCATTGTTCACAAGGTCGCTGTGAGTCATAGTCAACTCAATTGCATATAATGACAAAAAGTAAGCTTTTTCTTTCAGCCATCTTAACCCATATTGATTAGTTTCTTAGAGAATTTTGGCAGACTATTTTATGTTATTTTTAACTTATCTTCTTGTGTGCCAGCAAGTCAGAACCAACCCATAACTGAACCTTCAGTGGGTTTTCAGAGGCAGTAAATCAAACAGAAGGAGATTGTCCATCCTTCTACAGAGAAACTAGTGGATTCAAATTGAATGCCTCTGGGATTGCAGTGCTAATAGCATGTATAAAGTAGTCTGATAAATCTCAGTTGTTCTCCTAGAGAATTGTTTAATAATTATCAGGGATTTGGTTTGGTTTTGTTTTTAATTTTCTTGTGTACCCTCAAACTGGATCCAACTGGCACAGGAGGAGATTGCCCGTCCTCCTCCAGAAGAGTATCTAGTGGATTTGAACCACATGCCTTTGGGATTGCAGTGCAGCTTCTTTGCCACTAAGCCACCAGAGCTCCCTAATTATCAGGTTTTTAATGCCTCTGGAAACACTATGAACTTTGAGAAACAATGATAGTTATAGGAAGGCTTCAAGTCTTTTGTTCATAGGGTCGTTATGAGTTGTGCTCAACTCAATGGCACTCAACAACAACAACAGATTTTTAAGACTGATTTTGTAAAGACTTTTTTTTTAGGCTTAAAACTTGATCCTAACTGGATGAGTCTAAATTTATTGATTAATAATTAAATTGTATTTACTGATAGCAAATAATTACCTATTAATAACTAGATATGAACATTTTATAACTGAGACATTAAACTCACTCAAACTCATTGCTATTTCAAGTCGGAACCAGATTATAGCTGATCTTCTAGCAGGTTTTCAGAGGCTGTAGATTGTACAATAGGAGTTGCCCATCTTCTTCCCACAGAGAGCTGGTGAGTTCAAACTACCAGAAAAGCACCAATTTTGGATCGGCAGTGCAACTTCATATGAAATCAGCGTTCCCTTAAATGTCCAGGAAGTCATAAAATAGAGTGAACATGATCATTGCAAGATCAAAATACTTGGTTCTCAATGCTGCTCAACTCCTTGCCATTGAATCAGAACCAGCCCATAGCTAACCTTCCAGTATGTTTTCAAAGGCTGTAAATCATGCTAGAGAGTGCCCTTGTTGCTCCTATAAGAGCAGCTGGTAGATTTGAATTGTCTCCCTTTGAGTTAGCAGCTCAAGTCCTTACACATTAGGCCATCAGAGCTACTGAAACTTGGTTCTAGTGCTGTTTAGTATGTTAGGAAGTTGAACACTTGCTTTGTATCTTTATTTCATCTCTTAAGTCATCTTTTGTTTTGAGGTACATATAGGGGCACTGAGTGGAAACTTTTTAACAGTGTACAAAAGATACATTTTTAAGGATCTTCTCCCGCCGCCCCCAGTTGTCTGAGTCATTTTTATCTGCAGGTCGGGTATATGCTCACTGGATTTTAACTTACATGATTGCCTTATTTGTAAAATAGGAATAATCATGGAGTTGCTATTAGATATAAGTGGTCAGTCATTCTATTGTAACAGCTTTGATGTGGACTAAAACAATGTTTACCAAAGAATGGAAAATATTGGTGACTAAGGAGTTTTCCTTGATATTCTGTTGGTAGTATGTTTTTAAACCTTTATAGTATGTCAAATACCATAAGGGTTATCCATGGGGGGCAGGGTTTGGTAAAGCTCCCAGATTAAGACAGAGTAGGAAACAGAATTGGCATTCACTTCTTAAATAGCAGGCCTTTGAAAACCCTATGAAGGCTGGAGAACTGAGGATAGTTACACTAATGTAGTGGTAGAACCCAGTTTAGAAGTCAGTTGAAATGAGGAAAAGCAATAAGGTGGATGTTTGACAAAGGGGAGGAAGACCCTCGACCAGAAATATTGAGACAGTGACTGCCGCAAATTGGCTCTTGTGTGTCAGGAAGTGTGAGGATAGAACAGGGTTCAAGTCTTTTGTGCATGGGGTCACTATGAGTCATGCTCAACTCAAGAGCACCTAGTAACAAAATTTATAGAATTTTCCTTGATATTCAAATGACGGTATGTTTTAAATACTAGGCTTTACATTCTGATTATGAATATTTACCACAAACTTTGACAAGAGCAAGCTACTTTTCAAGAATTCTTCATGAAGAATACAATAACAATCTGGCTACAACATCTGTCATCTCATTGATCACTAGGGTTGATGTGGCTGATCTGGTTTGCGAGGCTGGGGTCCTCTTCCTCTTTAACTGCTCCTTATGTGTTGTGTCCTTCTCAAAGCCTCATATTTGGTTAGAAAGGACAGCCTTCCCTGATAGAGGATTGCCTTTTCATTGAAGGTACACGATTAGCTATACTTCTTGGCTAGAACCTCCACACAATCTCACAAGAATTCTTCCAACACCGGAAGGATTCTGACAACTGAATTTCTCTTAATGTTCTTACTGAAGGCAAATGAAAGATTCCTGTCCCCAATCTGAGACTATTGTTTAAAAAAAATGGAAGACAAAGTTGAGATTTTTTTTTTCCAGATTGAGAAGGATTTTAAACTATAAAAAAAGCTAAATGGAACAATTTAAATAATTAAAGTTTAAATTTAATTGCTTTTGAAATTATCGCTTTTATCACTAATAATTAATTTGTTTTTTAGGGTCATTTAGGACTGATGGGTCCTAATGGAGAGCCAGGAATTCCAGGATATAGGGTAAACATTTTGAATTAAAAATATGAGAATGTATGTTTCCCTGAAATATTTTTATGTTAAAATGTCATCCCATATATGCAAATTAAGGTTGAACTATCCATGACAAAACATTCCTGAAATGTTTAAACTTCATCTCCTTAAATATATAAGTAACTGTGTTAGTTCTATTATGTCAACTTCAACTCAGGGTAACCTTATGTATGATAGAACAAATTGCTGTACATATATACCATCATCTCCCTAGAGAGTTAATCCTGTTTTTAATTTCAGAATGCAGTAGTTTAATATCTAATGGTGTGTACTTGGTGGTATTAGGTAGAGGATATATATATAATATAGGGACTATCTACTTACTTGTTCTTTTCTTAGGGTCAACAAGGTCAACCAGGCCTTTCAGGATTGCCAGGACCTAAAGGAGAAAAGGTATGCATGCATAGTTGGGGGTTTTTTGGTCATTGGGTTTTGTGTTTGTTTGTTTTTTTAATTTCTGAAGCTAAACATTGAATTTATTCTTTCTGGGGAAGAAAAATGAGTATAAACATTCTTAACTAGTAAAATGTGCATTTTCAATTTGGATAGATTGTGGAAGGGGAAAAAAATCACAAGACTTAAATTTAAATAAATAATCAAAATATCTCAATATATTATCTCTAGATTAAGATAAAACAATATATCTAACAGAAACCTGTAAAAATCTATAAAGGTAAAATTACTCACTGAAAAAGCTTGTGAAACTCTGGGATAAATGACTAATTTATATTAAAATGATCTGTTTACTTACAGATAACCACAATACTCTTAATTTACAAAATTATTGAAAACGATTCTGAGAAAATTCTTAAATTGCTTTTTAAACAATGAAGGCAAATTAGCATTTCTAGACAGAATGAAATTACAACTGTATATGAATCATGCTAAGTTTCACAGATTAAAATGTTCCATTTTAAAAAGCTAGAACCAGATTGTTTATTTCTAACAAGTTATCGTGGTTGAATGTTTATAAAATTTATTCAATTAATTTTGTTTTAACTTTTTTTTTTCATTGTAGGGCTTCTCAGGAGAAGATAATACAGTCTTGGGAATGCCTGGGTCTCGAGGTGAACCAGTAGGTCTTTTTCTAAAATTTCTTTGATTCCTTAATATAAAAATCACCATTTTACATTTTCACCAGCAATTTTGTGACAGTTCCAATCTTGTCCCACCCTTGCCACCATTTTTTTGTTCACTGGTTTATTGTTGAACGTTGTTGCTGGCTTGAGATGCTATCTCTATATTGTTTTGATTTGCATCTCTTTAATAGCTGCTGGGAGTTCTGGTGGCCTAATGGTAAAGATTTGCACTGTCAACCCAAAGGCATGTAGTCTGAGTCTATTCGCTGCTCTGTGAGAGAAAGATGAGCCATCTCCTCCTCTCCTCTGGTGCAATTTACAAGACTCTGAAAAACCACTGGAAGGGCAGCTATGAGTCAGTTTCAACTTACAGGCACATAACGACAAGAATAACTAGTGATCTTGAGTACTTCTTCATGAGTTTGTTGGCCATGTGAATGTCTTCTTTGATAAAGACTCTTCATAATATCTGCCCATTTTGTAAATGTATTGTTTGTCTTTTTTGTGTTGTGGTATTTATTGAGAGCTCTGGTAACCTAGTGGTAAGAAGCTGCCCTGCAATCCTGAAAGCACACAGTTCAAAACAACCAGCTGCTCTGTGAGAGAAGGATAGGCAATATCCTTCCTTGCAAAGAAAGAAAACAGGCAGGAGGGTCAGCTATGAGTTCTGATCTGATGGTACACGACACAACGTAGATTATAATATATATGAGTTTCTTGTCTAATAAATTGTTAAATAATATTTTTCTTAGTCTGTACGGTAGGTTCTCTTTTTACTCTTTGGATAAATTTCTTTATAAATATATAATATATAATTTTACCTTTAGAGTATTTCATTTCTCTGTTATTTTCTGGTTGTACGGTTTTGATTCTATTTGATAGTCTAGTTAGTACAAATTAGGGTTTATAAGTTTTCTCCTGTTTTTTCCCTGATGATCCTCATGGTTTTATGTTTTACCCCTAGTTTCTTAATCGACCTTAAGTTAGATTTTGTATATATGATGCAGAGAGTTTTGTCAGCACCATTTGTTAAAGAAGCTCTCATTTCCTCATGTAGTAGATTTCATCTCCTTGGCAGAGATCAGTGGTCGATAGGTGAATGGATTTACATCTGGATTCTCAAGTCTACTCCGTTGGTCTATTCCAATCTATCATTGAACCAGTGTCTTGCTGTTTTGATTACTGTGGATGTGTAGTACATTTTGAGAGAAGGAAGCAAAGATATCATATTTTGCTTTTCTTCTTAAAGTAGCATTTTTCTCATTGGTTCACTCAAATCACAATTTTTAAAAAAATTAGCAAATTATAATATTTTTAATAAGTTGATAACACTTGCAATCATCTTTATAAAATATTTTTCTCAGTTTTAGAAAATTATTTTATGTTGGTCATAGGATTGCTACATCTTAGAGTGGTCCTGTGCCATCCTCACAATCTTTACCACGCATTAGGTGTGGTTACAAAATCTAAATAATGTGAAAGCATTAGATATAAATGTGTTTTATAATCAGATCAAGATCATTAGCATGGTATAAGCTGTTGTTGTGTAGCATCAAGTTGGAACCGACTGATAGTTGACTCTCTGGCCTCGCAAAAGCGGAGATTGCTGATCCTTCTTCTGCAGAGTAGCTGATGATTAGAACTGTGCGTCTTCGGGATTGCAGCACAGCGTCTTGCCACTAGGCCACCAAGCTCACTAGTGTAATGATTTAAAACAGTGATTTCTCAAATCGAACATTGAACATTGAATATACATTATAAAATTTTATCAAGATTGCCCTCCCCCCTAAAAAAAACTGCAAGAAAAGGGGGAGGATGAGTATTCTCCAGGGCGATTAACTGCCTCTGAAAGCCCCCAGGAAGGTCAGCTGTAGCACATTTTCAACTTGATGGAACACAACAGCATAGACATTTTAAGGCAGATATTTCTTAAATCATCAAATTTCTATTTCTTAAGTATTAAAAATTAGCTTATGTTCTGCCCACGAAATGCCCCTCAAAGGATATCCAATCATCACACGTCTGAAAATTCAAGAGTGTTTATTAAATTCCACATGGGGAGACTTTCTCCCTCAGTAGGAAGGTGGCCAGGGGAAAAGCCCCTAGACCCTCCACACCCCCGCCCCAATTGCTTTTATGGCTTTCCTGGGTGCCACTGCGGGGATGGGGAGATTGAGATCGTGGTTGGTGGGTTGGGGGACCAGTCATGTGGGTCAGCTTTTGATGGGCTGGCTACTTTGCCCACCTTTACTCTTTTTGTGTCACTAGACACTAGTTAATTCTTTACTTTGCAAGGACAGATAAGACTTTTGTGTTTGCCTTAAGCTAAGAATTTTTATGGCCTGCTTCTGTTTCTGGTATTAATGGGGGGTTATAAAAAATGGGGTTTATGCTGTCCCTTCAGCTTAAACATAGAATTGCACAATTTGATAGGGTGATGAAGAAAATGGAAGAATCTTATGTGAAAAACAATGTAATAAAACTTTGTAGACAAATCAGTATAATTTTTTTACATTAGCTTATACACTTCTGCTCCCATCCTCCCCACCTTAGATCCTCATACACATTTTATTAGTTATCTATTTCTACAATAATGGAGGGTGGAAGCAGAAGGGACAGGTGTTATCATAGGATCAGATAATTTGTTTGGAGTGAGAAGTGGATAAAGGAAATGGGAAAGATCTAGTGTAAAAACAAGTATACGAACTTTGTAAGTAAACCAGTATAAATTAAAAATGTTATTTAAAAAATCAGCTTTTATATGTTTACAGTAGTTACACATAAATGCCAACTGATTTCAAAATTTTTTCTAGCTAGAGTCAAGACCCTTAAAGATTACTAACTTAAATCATCTAAGAATTTTTAAAACAATTTACTGTCATTTGAGTGAAGATTTACAGAGCATGTTGGTTTTCTATCCACACGTTGTCACAGCACTTCCTGCTTTCTCCCTGTGATTGTTTACATTCACCTTTCTATGCTAATCTTCGTGCCTTCTGAACATTATACCTGGGCAAATACTGCCTTTGGTTAATTGTTATAAGAAGTACCTCCCTGATGTTACTATTCATTCTAATTAAAAATTTCAAGGACTATGGACCAGGAGGCAGTCGTCAGAACAGAGCAAGGGAACACTGCATGGTTCAAAATTGGGAAGGGCGTATGCCAGGAATGCATCCTATCTCCATACCTTTTCAACCTATATGCAGGACAGATTATCCGGGAGACTGGGCTCTATGAGGAGAAATGTGGGGTCAAGATTGGTGGACGATTTATCAACAATCTGCGTTATACGGATGACACAATCCTGCTTGCTGAAAATGAAGAGGACCTGAAGCACCTGCTGCAGAGGGTCAAGGACTACCTCCAATATGGATTGAGGCTCAGTGTCAAGAAGACAAAGATTCTCACCACTGGACCAATTGGCAGCATCAGGATGGATGGTGAAGAGATTGAGATTGTACACAGCTTTAGTTTGCTTAGCTCCACAATCAACAGTCTTGGCACCAGCAGCCAGGAAATTAAAAAGCGCATTGTCATGGGAAAGTCTGCTGTTTAGGGACCTCTCCAAAGTACTGAAGAGCAATGGTGTCTCCCTGGAGACTAAGGTGCATCTGATACAGTCCATGGTCTTCGTAACCACTTGTTATGCATCAGAGAGTTGGACAATGACCAAGGAGGATAGAAGAATTGATGCCTTTGAGCTGTGGTGCTGGAGAAGTATTGAGAATACCATGGACTCCTAGGAAAACAAACAGATTTGTCCTGGAAAGGGTTAAATCAGGTGGCTCCTTGGAGGCAAGGATTCTGAGGCTCCGTCTAACATACTTTGGACATGTTGTGAGGAAAGACCGGTCCTTGGAGAAGGACATCATGCTTGGGAGCGTGGAGGGACAGTGCAGGAGGGGAAGGCCCTCTATGAGGTGGATTGATTCAGTGACTGGGATAATCAGGATGGGAGTGCCAGATACAGTGCTATTGGCACAGGACAGAGCAGAGTTAGGGCTGTTGTACATAGGGTCACTATGAGTCTCAAGCGACTCGATGGCACATAACAACAACATGTTTAACTACAGTTTTCTTTTCTTTTTAAGTAGCTATTCTTAAAACTTGGGTTACCTTAAATAATGTCTAAAGGAGATAACTAAATTAAATGGGTAAAATAAACAAGTTTAGTTCATTTTAAAGTTAATAAATATACTTATTTTAAAAAATAAATTTTAGTTGATGTTTTATTTCCCACATAGTTATTATGATTTGAAGTAAATACTATTAAAGCCGAAGAATTCTAATATATAATCAGTCTTCATAGTTTGGTTTGTTATCGTTGTTTACTGTCAAGTTGGAGCAAACCCATAGCTGATCCTCAAGCGGGTTTTCAGAGGCAATTAATCAGCTGGGAGGAGATTGCCCATCTTCTCCTGAGCAGGAGCTGGTAGACCCAAATATGCTTTTGGGATTGCCGCATAGCTTTCTCACCACTAGTCTACCCAAACACCCTAGTTTAGTCCCCTGAAAGTAGTAGAAATTATATTTTGTTTTAAAGTAGTTGAAATTATATTTTGTTTTAAAATATATTATATTTAAATATATTTAAAATATATTCTAGAATTTCCTGATTAAATCAAGCCATTTCATATACTATATTTTACACAAATAACACACCTACATACATAATGCTTAAAGACATATAATATATAATATGTGTAGGAAACAAATATATGAGAAGATTGTACAGTTAGAAAAACTCACATAAACTTGCATATTATTTGCATGAAAACTGCAATAAGTCACCTAAGACATAACCATAAGAAATCATATGTAGTGAACTTCCTTAAGTAGGTTTTAGTCTCTCCAAACCACTAAAAGAGAGAGAGACTATGGGAATAATGCAAAAGTTCAAAAGCAAATTTAAAAAAAATATGCCAGAATAATACCATTCATTGGCAACTAAAACATAGTAGTGACATTATTTTCTCTGTCACTTGAAATATAAACATATTAAAAGTCTAGCATGAAAATGATAGTTTTATCTTTGAAATATACTGTTACTATAGATGTGGGACAGACATAAAATTTTAAAATACTCTAAATAATTATAAGACAAACTCTCACTCATACCTGACCCTCCAGGGGCTTTTTTAGGCAGCAGTAGCTTTTGGTTTCAAATCTCACTCCATTCAGTTGCCAATGCAACTCTCAACAACTTGGTGACAGAAACAAGACTGGAAATCAAATGACTGAATTTTGTACAGTCAATGATTTATTGATTGCAATCATCAATTTATTTATTTTTAAAAAGAAAAATACACATATACACATAACCCTTACCTGATGGACTACACAGGAGCCAGATTGAAAACATTTGTGGGAGGAATCATTGGAGAAGCTCAATATTATCAATGAAAATAAGGTCAGGTGCTGACTGTGAAACAGACCATCATTTACTCATGTGCCACTTTAAACTGAAGCTAGAGCATATTAAAACAAGTACACAAGAACCAAAATACAACCTTGAGTCTATACCACCTTTATTTAAAAACCATTTCAAGAATACATTTGAAAGATTGAACACTAATTTTCAAAGACAACATGAGTTGTGGGAAGACATCAAGGATATCATTCATGAAGAAAGCAGAAAGTAATTACATAGGGGAAAAGAAAAAGACCAAAATGGAAGTTGGAAAATACTCTAAAAATTGCATCGTAACATCAAAAAACAAAAGAAAAAAAAAGTAAAAAAATTGAAAGGGTAGCTCTAAAAGACAAAATGTGCAAAATCAGGAATTAAAAGGGAAGAACTCTGTTAAGATTTCTCAAGCTGAAAGAACTGAAAAACATAATCCAATACTGAAGGATCATATTGGCAAAATCTTGAATGATCCAGGAGTCATGAAAAGAAAATGAAATGAAAAAAATTAAAAAAAGAAAAGAAAATGAATGCACAGTCATTATATGAAAAAAAAATTGGTTGTTTCAGAACCATTTCATGAAGTAGTATCTGATCAAGAATCAATGATAATGAAGGAAGAAATGTAAGCTACATGGCATTAAGAAAACAAACAAACAAAAAACAAAACAAAAAAACACCAAGAATTGATGGGATACCAACTAGCATGTTTCTGTGAACAGATATGGTCCTCAAAATACTCACCAGTCTGTGCCAAGAAATTTGGAAAAGAGCTACCTGACCAAATGATTGGAAAGAGATTATATATATTCCTATTCTCAAAAAGGAGGATTGTAAAAAAAAATTATCACTAATGTCACATACAAGTAAATGCTTGATGAAGATTATCCAAAACCAGCTAAAAGACTGTATAGACCAAGGACTACCAGAAATTCAAGCTGGATTTAGAAAAGGCCCTGGTACCAAGGGTATCATTGTTAGGTGGATCTTAGTTGAAAGCAGAGGATAACAAAAGGATGTCTATTTATGTTGTATTGACTATGACCAGGCATTTGACTGTGTGGATCAAATTATGGCTAATATTGTCTGAACAGAGGAAGGGAACAGTGAATGGCTGAAAATTAAGAAAGGTGTTCATCAGGGCTGTGTCCTTTCTCCACGTCTATTCACTCTGTATGCTGAGCAAATCATTCAAGCAGCTGGACTCAATAAAGAAGAATGTGGCATTAGGTTTGGAGACAGTCATCAACAAAACTGATTCATACAGATGACACAGCCTTACTCACTGAAAGTGAGAAGGATTTGAAACATTTGCTGCAGAAAAAGAAAGACTATAGTCTTCAATATGGATTACATCTCAACATCAAGAAAACAGGAATCCTCACCATTGAGCCTATAGGCAACATCATGACAGACAGAGAAAAGATTGATGTCAACAACTTCATCTACTTAGATCCACAATCAGTACCAGTCACGAAATCAAAAGATGAGTTACATTGGGAAAATCTGTTGTCAAGGATCTCTCAAAAGTGCTAAGGAACAACTATGTCCATTTACAGATTAAGATGTTCTTCTCAATTACTTACAGTATATCTGAAAGCTGGACAAAAAGGAAGGATGATGGAAGAATTAATACTTTTGAATTGTGATGTTGGAAAAGAGTACTGAACATGCCATGGACCAACAAGGAAAGAAAAACAACACAGATCTTCCCTGGAGAAAGTGAAACCAGGGTGCTCCTTGGAAGTAAGGATGGTAAAACTCCATCTTATGTACTTTGGACATGTTATTAGGAGGGATCAGGGCTTGTAGGACATTATGCTTGGAAAGGTGAAAGATCAGCATAAGAAAGGGAGTTCTTAAACCAGATGGATTGACTTCAATGACTGTAACAATGGGCTCAAATATATCGGAGAAGATGAAGAAGGTACTGGATAGGGCAGGGTTCTGATGTGTTGTCCATAGGGCCATTATGAGTCATACTCAAATGGAGAGCACCTACCAGCCACTTAATTAAAGCAGAGTCATAGATTATTATCTTTGCATTATTAATGTCATTATCTATGGAAAGTTAAGTTCAAATTCATTCATTCTCAATAATAATTTCTGTGGTTTTCAACTAATTTTAATTTGTGTGACTCTTAAAACAGTGTTTCCTATTTACATGCATTTTATAGTAAATAACTTGAATAGTTTGTAATAGCAAATATTTTATAATTAGAAATGTTTAAAAAATTAGTGTCAATTTAGTACTTGAGGGCTAAAGTTAAGTGCAATTTTCATTAGGTTAATTTATGTCTTGGATTAAAAATATCTGAGATTGAAGAATAAATGATATACTATTTAAATGATAAAGTAAAATTAACCTTTTTAAGCTTAAAATGTTATTTAAATATAATCATGAATAACTAAAGTATTGGTTAGATAGCTAAATAAATGTTCTTCCCTTAATATTTTTGTCATTTTAACATTGATCAAAATGCACCTAAAACTTTATATTTTCAGCTAATCTTATTTCCTCAATATTTTTAGCAGAATTATGTGATTTTCTCTGTGTTACTCAGTGTTAGCATAATTTAATAATGTTTTTGGTGTCACTGAAATTTAGTCTTTTCAAATTATTTAGTAGAACATTATTTTTATTTTATTTATTTTTTTTTTCATATTTTGGACAAAACCAAACTTGTTTTACTCTCCTTGTTCATGAAAGTGTAGATCCAGCTGTAAAACTCTTTTTTGTTTGTGGTCTCTATAGGGTCCAATAGGAGAACCAGGAGACAGAGGAGAGCCAGGTCCAGAAGGGTATAAGGTAATTGCTACAAACTTACACACCTTACTTTTCAATGTCCATTGAGTTATCTATAATTCTTCTTAATTTCAAATTAAAATAAGCATCATTGAGATATTTCTTGTTGTCAGGTGCCTTCAAGTTGCTTCCAGCTCATGACAACTCTTAAGTGCAAAAGAATGAAACTGAGATACTTGATGATTGTTGTTGTTATTATGTGCCAGTTGAGTTGTTTGCCACTCATAGCAACCCTAAGTACAAAAGCCCTAAACCTGCTCTATCCTGTGCCAATCGCACTGCTTCTGACACACCCATCCCTATTACCCCAGTCACTGAATCTCTCCACCTCAAAGAGGGTCTTTCTTCCCCCCCTGCACTGTCCCTCCACCCTCCCAAGCATGATGTCCCTCTCCAAGGACCTGTCCCTCCTTACAACATGTCCCAAGTATGTCAGACGAAGCCCCAGAATCCTTGCCTCCATGGAGCAGCCTGGTTTAACCCTCTCCCGGATGAGTCTGTTTGTTTTCTTGGCAGTCCATGATACATTCAATACTATTCTCCAGCACCACAGCTCAAAGGCATCAATTCTCCTTCTATCCTCCCTAGTCATTGTCCAATTCTCTGATGTGTAACAACTGATTGCAAAGACCATGGCCTGTATCAGGAGCACCTTAGTCTCCAGAGACATACCGTTGCTCATGAGTACTTTAGAGAGGTCCCTAACAGCAGACTTTCCCATTGCAATACGTTTTTTGATTTCCTGGCTGCTGGTGCCAGGAGTGTTTACCGTGGAGCCGAGCAAACTGAAGCTGTGAACAATCTCAATCTCTTGCCCATCCATCCTGATGCTGCCAATTGGTCCAGTTGTGAGAATCTTTGTCTTCTTGACATTGAGCCTTAGTCCATACTGAAGGCTGCAGTCCTTGACCCTTTGCAGCAAGTGCATGAGGTCCTCCTCAGTTTCAGCAAGGAGGGTTGTGTCATCTGCATAACGCAGATTGTTAATAGATCTTCCACCAATCCTGACGCCACACTTCTCCTCATAGAGCCCAGCCTCTCGGATAATCTGCTCTGCATACAGGTTGAAAAGTCTTCTTTTTATTATTTTGAAGAAGCCTACTTCTTTGTGCTGTGTCTTATTCCTTGGATCATCTTTCCTGTCATTTTCCATTACTGCTTTCCCCCCTCCTCATTTAGATCTCAACTGAAATGTAACCCCCTGAGAGACCTCCTGTAATGACCATTTTTTGTGTTGTAAATTTCTTCCTGGCACTTAGTGCTAGCTAAAATATACTGATCACTTTTATATATTTGTTTCTTTCTTTATAACATGTCTGCTGCTAATAAAATACAAGATTTATAAGAACATGAATCTTGCTGATGTACTTCATCATTATAAAGCATCAACTTCTAGAACACACAGTCCCTGATACATAGTAGGAATCCAATAAATATAGTTGTCAAATAGCTATGTGAATACTGTTACAGTCAACTTTATATCAATTCACATCCTGTTTCATTTTCTAGAAGAATTTTATGAGACCAGCTGAAATTATATTAGGTAGTATGTCAGAATTTATTGTGTCAGATTTTATAAGCACATTTGTATTTAGGATGTCCGGCATGACTGCCTAATATCTCTTCTCTCTTCACTTATGATTCTAATTGTTGAACAAAATGGTCAGTTAACTTCCTCTCTATAGTTCCTGTCTGATTTCTTTGCACACAATATTCCTCTCCAGTCTTTGCTATCTTCACTTACATAGAAATGGTCCTTCATAATATAACTCAAATTCCATTTTCCCTTGTTCCGTCTTTCCTGACAAACAACAATCTTCTTTTCTATGCTGCTGCTGCTGCTACTGAGGACCATCGAGTCAGGACCATCTCATAGCAGACCCTCCAGTTGGTTTTCAGAGGTGATTAATCCCATGGGAGGAAACTGCCCATCCTTCTCCCATAAAGCAGCTGGGGGATTTGAACCACATGCCTTCAGGATTGCAGTGCCATTTCTTTCCACTAGGCCACCAGGACATTTCATATAGTATTTTTTTTATTGTTATCAGTCATTTCATATAAATATCTTATCCTCTTCTTTTGTTAATTTTTTACTATTTATGACAGGTCTTTAAATAGTATGTTTTGGGTTAATTTATCCATTATACCCCTTTCTCAAGGTCTGAAGTAGGACTTAGAGTGCCAGACTGAAAAGACAAGCTTTTGGTTAGTCAATGTATTAGTAAACTAATTTTCTCCAACCAAAAGAATGTGACAACTTCATTTTATTCTTCACATCTCCCTTTGAAACAAATGTCAACAAGGACTAAATATCTGTCAAAGTGTTGTGATGACCATTTTATAATTCTTATTTTTAGAGAAGCTTTTAAAAGAATGTTCTATGTGCTCTGTTTCCAACTTTAGATTAAAAGGAATTCTGTGGATTTATTTGAAATTACTTAATTTTTTTTAAACCATCCCAACTGCTTCTGGCATAATTTAGAAGCCACTTGAACATCCTTAGCTATTTCTGTGAATGCTATAATGCATTTTCAGGAAATCAGGTTCCTATAGTATCTTCTTTTGTCTTTTACAAACTACAAACTACTTGGTAACTTAAACAGTATAAAACAAAAATAACATAGATTCACCTCCAACTTTTGTGAATCCCGTATGTGTCAGGATAGATTTGTACTCTTTTTAGTGTTTTCTGTGGCAGATTTTTACAAGTTGATGAGGGAACCATTTGTCTGACATGCTTCAGAGTGACTCAAAACTTGCTTTTCTTTTAGTTTGGTAGCTATATGTTAAGGATTTGCACCACCTAGGGACACCTAGGGACCCCTGGCGGGAGCATCACCAAACCTGTGAGCTGTGCAGGAGGCCAGAGAACGGGCACCCGGGCAGCCCTAACTGGTTCCTTGCACATCCTGCTGTCTTGTGCTCCAGGCTGGCATTTTCTAGGGATCCCTGAGAGAGGAGCAACTAATGAACAAATGCCCCTTTCTCTCCTATCTAAAATGACAACAAAGGAGTAATGAACAATCAGAAGAATTAACCTTAAAATCAGAAATATTCACATCAAATTGTGGTTAGCTCCAACACCATATACAAGTTACTACTTTTTGGTTAAAAGAGGAAATGCATGTTGCTATTAGGTGCCTTCCAATCGACTGTGAGTCGTAGCGACCCTGTAGACAATGAATCTGTAGCCTACCTATCCTGTGCCATCCTCATCGTGTCTGATGTACTTGAGCTCGTTGTAACAGTCACTGTGTCAATCCATCTCTTTGAGGATCTTTCCCTTCCTTGCTAATCCTTCACCTTTCCAAGCATGGTATCCTTTTCCAAGGCCTCACTCCACCTAGCAACATGCTCAAAATATGTGAGATGAAGCTTCACCATTCTTGCCTCCGAAAAGCACCATAGGTGTACTTTCTCATACTCATTTGTTTTCTTTTGGCAGTCCTTGGGACAATCAGTGCTTTTCTTCAACTCCATTGACTCTTATGTCATCCTTAATCATTGTCCATCTTTCTGATGTATAACAAATAATTGAAAAGGCTATGGCTTGGATGAGATGCACTTTAGTCTTTATAGTGACATTATTGCTGCTACACACTTTAAAGAGGTCCTTGACAGCAGATTTAGCCAATGTGTGTGTGTGTGTGTGTGTGTGTGTGTGTGTGTGTGTGTGTACATATGTGTCTTGTGATTTCTTGACTGCTGGTACTAAAGGTGTTTGTGGATCCAAGCGAAATGAAATCATTGATAACTTCAGTCTTCTCTCCATTTATCATGATGTTGCCTACTGACTCAGTGGCAAGGAAATACATATTGAAATGAAAGTCTAGAAAAGATATAATGAAACCTTACATGTGCCTCTAGCAAGTTTTGTGCCAGTTTTGGCCCTTGGACTTCAATTTCTTTATTTGTAGATTGAAAGCATTCTTAGAATCCTCTAACTTGAGGAATCTCAACCCTTTCTGTACTAGAAACAGAGCCGGGAAGCACAGCATGGTTAAAAATTGGGAAAGGTGTATGCCGGGGATGTGTCCTATCTCCGCACCTTTTCAACTTGTATACAGAACAGATTATCTGAGAGGCTGGGCTCTTTGAGGAGCAGTATGGTGTCAGGATTGGTGGAAGATCTATTAACAATCTGTGTTATGCAGACGACACAATCCTGCTTGCTGAAACTGAGGAGGACCTGAAGCACTTGCTGCAGAGGGTCAAGGACTGCAGCCTTCAGTATGGATTGAGGCTCAATGTCAAGACAAAAATTCTCACCACTGGACCAATTGGCAGCATCAGGATGGATGGCGAAGAGATTGTTAAAAACTTTAGTTTGCTTGGCTCCACGGTCAACACTCTTGACACCAGCAGCCAGGAAATAAAAAAACGTATTGCAATGGTAAAGTCTGCTGTTAGGGACCGCTCCAGAGCACTGAAGAGCAATGGTGTCACTCTGGAGACTAAGGCGCATCTGATACAGGCTATGGTCTTTGCAATCACTTGTTATGCATCAGAGTTGGACAATGACTAGGGAGAATAGAAGAAGAATTGTTGCCTTTGAGCTGTGGTGCTGGAGAAGAGTATTGAGTATAGCATGAACTGCCAAGAAAACAAACAAATTCATCCTGGAGGGGGTTAAACCAGGCCGCTCCCTAGAGGCAAGGATTCTGGGGCTTTGTCTGACATACTTTGGACATGTTGTAAGGAGGGACAGGTCCTTGGAGAGGGACATCATGCTTGGGAGGGTGGAGGGACGGCGCAGGAGGGGAGGGCCCTCTATGAGGTGGATTGATTCAGTGACGGGTAATCGGGCTTGGTGTGTCGGAGGCAGTGCGATTGGCACAGGATAGAGCAGGGTTTAGGGCTGTTGTACATAGAGTCGCTATGAGTCGCAAGCGACTCAACGGCACATAACAACAACAACAACAACAACGAACTTTAAAATATGATACCTGTTGAACATCCCCAGAGAAGAGATTGGTGATTCTGCTATACAACCAAAGTTGAAA